GTATGGAGGGATGGTCACTGGGGAGAGGTAACTATGGAGAGGAAGCGGGCGCAGAGCTGTTGCATTATGGTAAACTGTGGTCAATGACATGAGAGAAAGTATATGTGAACTGCTGTATGGAAAGTGAATTTGCTCTGTAAATCTTCACCCTCATCACAATAAAATTAAAAAAAAAAAAAACACTACAGAAATCTTAAAAATAAACTTCCCACGTTCACACAGTTGTTAAAATGATGATCTATTATAGATCATCTGTCATGGATGAAGAAGTTGAGAGTAACATTATTTAGGACTGACAGTACATTAAAAATTAAAACCAAACTCACTGCCATCGAGTCAATTCTAACTCACACTGACCCTATAAGACAGAGCAGAATCGTCCCATAAGGTTTCCAAGGCTATAAATCTTTACGGAAGCAACCTGCCTCATCTCACTTCCTAGGAGCAGCTGGTGGGTTCAAACTGCTAACTTTTTTGTTAGCAGCTGCAAGCTTTAGCCACTGTGCTACCAGAGCTCCTAGATTAAAAATTAGGTTAGGTAATAATGAAACAAGGCTTTAAGATAGCTTATGTTTGGAGATAAAATAAATAAGGACTCCTTAGAACAGGTAATACTGGAAGTCATAAAGAAATAGAGCAAGAAAGAGTATGTAATGGAATGATAAACGAGCTACATGACAGTAATGATGATGATGCAATTGTACACATAACATAATTAAACATTCTGATGGAAAGGAAAAAAGTAAAGAAAACTATCACATATGGCAGTATTAGGGGAAAAAAGTAACAAGGAAAAAGAAGTGTCCCACAGAAAGTCACAAAGCTCATTTTTAAATGTTTAATTATGGAAAACTTCAAACATATACAAAAGTAGAGTACTAATCACCTAGTTCAACAGTTATCACTTCAGGGCCTTCTTACTTCACCTATTATCCCTGTCCCCAAACCAAAAACCAAACCAACTGCCATCGATTCTATTCCAACTGAAAGCAACCCCCTCTTTGGGCTTCCAAGGCCAAATCTTTACCAAAGTAGATTGCCCCATCTTCCTTCCATGGAGTGGATGGTGGGTGTGAACCACCAACCTTCTTTTTAGCGGTCAAAATGCCTTAGGCACTATAACACCAGAGTTCTTTATTTATCCCTGTCCCCAGCACCAATGAATTATTCTGAAGCAAATCCAATGATCATATCACAAGGCTATTTTTAAACATTTTATTGCAACAAAATAAATATATACGAAAGATTTAAAAAATAGTTCTTGCTTGTGATGTATGTGTAGGTGGGATGGGAGAGGCAGTGTGTTTAACTGACAAATTCAAGAGGCTATTAAAAACCAAAAAAAAAAAAAACTTACTACCATCGAGTCGGATCTGACTCTTAGCGACCCCTCCTCGGGTTTCCAAGGTGGTATCACTAAGGATGGTAGATTGGCCAATCTTCCTTTTGAGGAGTGGCTGGTGGGTTTGAACAGCCAGCCTTCTGGTTAGCAGTCAAATGCCTGAGGCACTGTGTCACCAGAGCTCCCAAGAAGCTATTATGGACTTCTAAAACTACTTTTATAAGGGGAAATCAATGAGAAAAGGAAAATGCTCAAATTACAGCAGATGAAATATAAATTTGTTACTGAAACCAAAAGCTCACTGCCAGCGAGTTGATTCCCACTCACAGCAAGCCCCAGAGGGTTTTTTTTTGTTTGTTTGTTTTTTTAATTGTGATTTGGGTGAAAGTTTACAGAGTAAATTCATTTTCCATATAGCAGTTCACACACGGGTTGTCTCATGACATTGACTACAATTTACCCCAATGCAACAGCTCTCCTCCCATTTCCTCCCAATAGTTACCTATTGCCTGTGTCCATCCCTCCATGCACTGCTGCCCTCTGAACTGTCTCCCTATGCATAAACAGCCTTTCTTTCTTCCATGATTATTCTCTCCAAGGAATGTATCTACCTCAGACACATGTTCAACTCTTATGTCTATCTTTGGTTTGGCTGGAAGCCACAGGTGTGGCTTCGATTCTGAGGTGGTAAATCTTTATGGAAGTAGATTGTCCCATAATGGCCTGCAAAAAAGACCTGAAAAGCACCTTGCTTCTCAGGGACTCCAAAATTGAAAACAGAAGATTATTTGCATATATTTTAAAAAGAACTTACCTGGCAAATTAATGGAAGGCAGCCTATAATTAATCTAGAGCTGGTGGTAGTGGTGATTAGGAGGGACTGTATCTTATCTGGAAAGATTTCCTTCAAGATAAGTTAGGGTTTAAAGGATATGCAGGAGTTAACTCAGTGAATGAGGAGGAAGTACACTGCAGGCACAATAAATGCAAGATTCTGGGGCAGGAGGAGGGAAAGGGGAGGAACCTGACATTAGAGGAACAGAGTGAAGGCCAGGGAGGGTGATGAACAAAGAACAAAGAGAAAAATGGTGTCAAAAGAGATCAGAGAGGAAAACAAAGGAAGTTTTCAAAGGGTACTAAGTTTGTATCAAAAAGATTTAAGAGCCAAGTTGAATAGGCTTCTACAGGCTAAAGATGGCACAATTCAAGCAGTAAGGATAACTATTGGAACAGACTGAAGCAAATGAAATCAATTTAATCCACAGCTTCATAATGATTTCCCTAAAATATTCACCAGTCCCGAACTGAACGACAAAAAACTAACTCATTATTTTGAAAACAGATAAAAAAAGGAAAAGAATTTCACACACACACACACACACACACAGAGGCCTAAAAGGTGATTAGGAGGCATATCAGGTGGAGTCCTATGAAGGATTGTAGTCTATTAATTAACTGATTAATAGAGAAAATAGGAGTAAACCTAAGAGTTTAGTAGCCAGCTATTTACTGAGATTAATTCCTATCCAGTCCTTTCTCATCAACTTTCTCTTAATAAACTTTTTTAAAAAGAGAAAATAAAAGGGGATCTGGGCTTTCATCATTTTTCATTAATTTCAGCTCATTCTCAGTTTAGCCTTCTTATCACTATTCTTCCCATCTATGCCACTCACTTGTCTCTGATCTTACTTAAAAAATATTTTATTCATGTGTTTTTAAAATCTGAGAAAACAAAGAGGTAGATTCAACTGCACTATGAAAAGGAAACTGGAAGACAGACACACAAAGTTTAAATCTTTCTTTTGGTAAAGCAAAAGATAAATAATTTTTTATAAGACACATTTAAACTGTGTAGGAATGGGGGAAATGTAGAAACACTACACATAAATACAGCTATCAAAGCTACCCTAGTCATGCATCAGAAAAAAGTGTCAAAAAGAAAAATAATCAGGTATTTTTAAATGTCAGCTTCTAATACTGAATCATAAATGAAATTTAAAAATCATTTCTACTCAAACTTTCAGTCCAATGCAATAAAATCATCCCATTTTTTTGAAGGTTAATTTTTTCAACATGGAAACTAGTTTAAAGAATTTAACATCTCCCTCCCAATACCCTATCTCCTAGAAAATTTATAAATATAAACAAAAATATACTATATTAAATTATTATTAAAATTTCTTTGAATAGGCAGGATTTTATTTTTTAAATAATTAAAAAATGAGTAGTTAAACCTTTTAGAGGTATGTTTTCAAAGTGGTGAATAGCATATAAATCTCCTGTTAATAGAGGTGTGCATTAAATTCGGATATACCACTTTGAAAACTTACCAATTAAAAAATATAATTTTTTACCTCTTCTTGTCCAAACTGCTCCATAGAATCACAGTAAACTTCACTGTCTGAATCACTGGTCAAATGCTGAATTCCAGCAACATCTTCAATGTGATCATCATTTATATCTAAATATAATTAAAAAGAATAATAATATCCTAATAGAAGTATCATTTATTCCATTTTCAAAATTCATCAGCTCTAAAATATTTTCATATTGGGACAACTATTATTTATACTAAGTCATGATTTTAAAAATTTACCAATACTATAAATTTAGTTGGTAATTTTTTTTTTAATATTACAAATTATTTTATTATTGAATTTTATCATGGAAGATACCACTAAGGTCAAAACTTATAAAACCTAAAACCCTTATACAAGAAAACAGACTATCAGCTAGGAAGCCTACATTTGGGATGTCAGCGTAAAAATTTGGTGGTTAAATTAAGAAATGATATTCTTGACTGAAGTACAGGAGAGGCTTCATATCATCAGAGGTTTAGGTTAAAAGAAGCATCAGTGCTAAGAGCAGAAATTTCAAAGATTTTATTTTAAAACGTCATATAATAACACAATTAAAAATGTCTTAATAAAAACATAATAACCCTGACCTTAATTCACTGTCTTTCAAAGCTATAAGCCTCTTATGTTAATAAATCCTAACATATTACTAGGTAAGTGTCTTTTATCCTAACTTGCTCCTACATATCCTAAAACTCACTAAAAGAATACTTTATTCGTAAGTAAAACGCTGACGAAAGAATGATTAAGGGACAGTACCTTCGTGAATGCAGACAGTAGTTTTTCCAGTTTGTTCCAAGTTTTGCTCTGCAGGTTTTACTTCTTCAGTGCTTTTGCCATTCAGGGAAAAACTAGCATGAATGTCATTCTGTATATCCTGAACAAAGCTGCCTTTATCATAGCCATTAGTGACAACAATTTCCAAATTGTTAAGGTCTGTTGATTTCTTCATCATTTTCTTATCTTTTATGAGAAAACAGAAGGATACATAAAAGTCACAAGCGGTCAACTTCTATATCTTTTGCAACTCCTGTATTTCCTAACATCCATGGGTCATTTCCCTAAGCTACCAAAATCCCTTTGCAAGGTTTCATACTAAGATCAGAGAGACAGGGTACTTATCATTAATCTTTTGCTACAATTTCATTGACTTCAAAACTGCTTCAGTTCCCTGTGAATCTTCTAGAACCTTCTAAGAGATAATCTCTGTGATAGCTAGAGTTGTGTGTCAATTTGGCTGAACCACAATTCCATGTGGCTTAAGCAATTGTGATGTGGGTTGTTCCAATGACGGGATAAGATGTATGTGTTTTGAGCAGCCAATCTGTCGAAATGGAGTTTTCCTAGGGGTGTGGCCTGCTTCCAATATATTTATGGATATCGTGGGAAAAGAGACACTCTTCTGTGGATTGGGATTCTGTTCTGCTGCCTACAACTGTCCATGAGTGAACAATCCATCATTCAGCCTGGAGATCTTGGATTTGTCATTCATTTGAGTCAAAAGCCAGTATACTGCCTGCCAACCTTGAGTTCTTTCAGCCCCTGGGAGCTGCATGAGTCGGGAAAAGCCTCCAGCTTGATGTTTGATCCAAGAATCTGGGACTTGCTGGCTTCTGTAAGTGTGTGAGTCATTTTCCTAAGATAAATTTCTCTTTCTCTATATATATAAGCTTTATTGGTTTTGTTTCTCTAGAGAACCCAGTCTAAAACATTTGCTACTGGGAGTGGTTCTAGAGAGACAAAATCATAAGGATGGGTTTCCTAAATTGGTTCTCCAATTTGATTCATCGTAAAGGCACTGGTGACCCTGCCTCCATTAGTAAAGAGGGCCCTGCTAATCTGTGGCGTGAGGTGGCAACATTAATATGCAAAATAGCACTACCAACGGATCAAATACTTTTGAGAAGTGAGGCCCGGGGTGTTCACATATTTGATACTTTTCTGCAAATCTGTCAGCCTGGGGAGTATAAGGAAACTGGTTTGTTGGTCCTTACACTAGACAAAATGGTGAAAGAGTGTCAGGGCTACGGAGTCACAGCTTAAGCACCCCATCAAAGACCTCAATGATTCCAACTGTGTTCTGAAAGAAAGCCTTATTTCTTCTAGTAACAGAACTGATATTGCTGAAAACCAAACCCAGCGTCTTATCGTAAGAGTGGATGAATTACAACGCTAATTAAATTACCAACCCAGAATAGTGTCTGAACTTAAAATGAGAGCATTGATTGGAAAAAAATGGGATCCTGCAACCTAGAATGGGGACATCAGGGCAGAGAGTCAGGAAGATGGGGATATGAAGCCTGTAAACTCTGTTGAATCCCTGCCATCTGAAGGGATTATTGTAAAACCATTATCCACTCCATCTCAGTTTGAAGGGATTAACCCAACTGTTCCTGTAGGGTCACTGCCTGAGGCAGAGGCCATGGAATACATTGCTCAATATTCTCAGGAACTACCTCGGCCACCCACTGTTGCTGCTAGACCTATAACTAAAGTTAACTCCAAGCGAGCCCCAAAAAGTAAAATACAAAGTGTGACTGAGGTGGTGGTATGCTATACCCAAAAAGACCTACTTGATTTTGCTAACATGTACAGACAGAAACCTAGAGAATAAGTATGGGAATGGCTACTGAGGGTGGGGGATAATGGTGCAAGGAATGTCAGTCTGAGTTTACTAATTTAGGCTCGCTAAGTACGAATTCTACCTTCAGTGTTTCAGCTCAAGAGGTTAGGAAAGGATCTAATAGTATATTCGGTTGGCTGACTGAAGCATGGATTATGCAGTGGCTTGCCTTAAGTCAAGTTGAAGTACCAGATCTGCCTTGGTATAATGTAGAAGAAGGTATCCACAGGCTTAGGGAAATTGGCCTGTTAGAATGGATTTGTCAGATTAGACACCTAGAGCCAGAAAGGGAGAGTCCAGAAGACACGCCTTTCACCAGTATGGTGAGGAATAAATTTGTGAAGGGAGCTCCAGCATCCCTGAAGACTGCTGTGATTGCTATTTTATGTAAGCTGGATTTGACAGTGGGAACTGCCCTAATTGAACTAAGATACTTAACCACAATGGGGCTGATTGGACCCCATGGTAGTAGGGGCCAAGTGGCAGCAGTTAAGTGACAAAGGCAAGGTGGGTGTGGTTACCATAATGGACAGCACAGTTGGAAAAGTAATCAGAATAGTCTGACTCGTGTGGAATTTTGGCATTGGCTACTTGCGCATGGTGTTCCTAGTAGTGAAATACATGGCAAACCTACTAAATATTTACTTGATCTGTATACACAGAAGAATTCTAGGTCACATGAACAGCAGCCTAGACTGAATCGCCAGAATACAGTCACAGCCTCTCAATCGATTCCCACACTTGCATCAGTTTACAGACCCACAACTCCTTGAATGAGGAGGAGGCCAGGTCCCCTTGAGGAAGGACCACATTACATTGCAAAAATTTATAATCTTCAAGCCTTCCCCAAAGGGATCTGAGGCCTTTTATGAGTGACTGCTCATTGAGGAAAAGGAAATATTGACTTTTCGGGGATTACTGGACACTGGCTCTGAACTGACACTAATACCAGGAGACCCAAAGCATCATTGTGGCCCACCAGTCGGGGGGGGGAGGGGCATATGGAGGTCAAGTTATTGATGGAGTCTCAGGTCAGGTGCCTCTCACAGTGGGTCCAGTGGGTCCCCAAATCCATCCTGTAGTGATTCTCCCAGTTCCAGAATGCATAATTGGAATAGATATACTGAGCAATTGGCAGAAATCCCACACTGGGTCCCTGACGTGGAGTAAGGGCTATTATGGTAGAAAAAGCCAAGTGGAAGCCATTAGAACTGCCTCTACCTACAAAAATAGTAAACCAAAAGCAATACTGCATCCCTGGAGGGGTTGCAGAGATTACTACCACCATCAAGGACTTGAAGGATACAGGGGTGGTGATTCCCACTACATCCCCATTTAATTCGCCTATTTGGCCTGTGCAAAAAACAGATGGATCTTGGAGAATGACAGTAGATTATCATAAACTTAATCAGGTGGTGACTCAATTGCAGCTGCTGTTCCTGATATGGTTTCACTGCTTGAGCAAATTAGTACATCTCCTGATACTTGGTATGCAGCTATTATCTGGCCAATGCCTTTTTCTTGATACCAATTTCAAAGGACCATAAGAAGCAGTTTGCCCTCAGCTGGCAAGGCTAACAGTATACTTTCACAGTGCTTCCTCAGGGGTATATTAACTCCCCAGCACTATGTCATAATTTAGTCCACAGGAATCTTGGTCGCCTTTCCCTTCCACAAGACATCACACTGGTCCATTATATAGATGACACTATGCTGATTGGACCTAGTAAGGAAGAAGTATCGATGACTCTAGACTAATTGATGAGACACATGCGTGCTAGGGGTTGGGAAATTAACCCAATAAAAATTCAGGCACCTCAGTGAAATTTCTAGGGGTCCAATGGTGTGGGGCATGTCAAGATATTCCCATCATAGTGAAGGGTAAGTTATTGTATCTGGCTTCCCCCACAACTAAAATGAGGCACAATGTCTGGTGGGTCTCTTTGGATTTTGGAGGCAACATATTCCTCGTGTGGGTGTGTTGCTGCAGGCTATTTATCAAGTGATTCTCAAAGCTGCTAGTTTTGAGTGGGGCCCAAAAAAACAGAAGGCTCTGCAGCAGGTTCAGATTGCTGTGCAGGCTGCTTTGCCACTTGGGCCATATGATCCAGCTGATCCAATGGTGCTTGAAGTGTCTGTAGTAGATAGAGATGCTCTCTGGAGTCTTTGGCAGGCCCCTATTAGTGAATTACAATGCAGCCCCTTGCGATTATGGAGCAAAGCCCTGCCATCCTCTGCAGATAACTACTCTCCTTTTGAGAAATAGCTTTTAGCTTGTTATTGGGCTTTAGTAGAGACTGAACGCCTAACCATGGGCCACCAAGTCACTGTGTGGCCTGAGCTACCCATTGTGAACTGGGTGTTGTCTGACCCACAGACTCATAAAGTTGGACATGCACAGCAGCATTCCATAATTAAATGGAAGTGGCATGTAAGAGATCGGGCTTGAGCAGGACCCGAAGGCACAAGGAAGTTACATAAGGAAGTGGCCCAAATACCCATGGTCTCCACTCCAGTCATATTATCTTCCCTGTCAGACTGCACTTATGGCCTGATGGGGAGTTCCTTATGATCAGCTGACTGAGTAAGTGAAAATTTGTGCCTGGTTTACAGATGGTGTTGCATGATATGCAGGCACCACTTGAAAGTGGACAGCAGCAACAATGCAGCCCCTTTTTGGGACTTCCTTCAAGGACAGTGGTGAAGGAAAATCCTCCCAATGGGCAGAACTTCAGGCCATGCATATGGTTGTTCACTTTGCATGGAATAAGAAATGGCAAGATGTGTGATTATATACGGATTCACAGGCTGTGCCTAATGGCTTGGTTGGATGGTCTGGGACTTGGAAGGAGCATGACTGGAAAATTAGTAACAAGGATATACAGGGAACAGGTATGTGGATAGATAGCTCTGAATGGGCCAAAGAAGTAAAGATATTTGTGCCTCATGTGAACGCCCACCAAAAGGTGACCTCAGCAGAGGAGGACTTTAAGGATCAGGTGGACAGGATGACATGCTCAGTGGAAACCAGCCATCCATTTTCAATGGGCTCATGAACAAAGTGGCCATGGTGGCAGGGATGAAGGTTATGCATGGGCTCAGCAACATGGACTCCCACTTACCAAGGATGATGTGGCTACTGCCACTACTGAGTGCCCAATCTGCCAGCAGCAAAGACCAACATTGAGTCTGCGATATGGAACCATTCCTCAGGGTTATCAGCCGGCAACATGTTGGCAGGTTGATTGCATTGGACCACTTCCATCATGGAAAGGACAGAGTTTTGTTCTTACTGGAATAGATACTTATTCTGGATATGAATTCGCCTTCTCTGCATGTGATGCTTCTGCCAAAACTATCATCCATGGACTGACAGAATGCCTTATCCACTGTCATGGCATCCCACACAGCATTGCTTCAGATCAAGGGACTCACTTCACAGAAAATGAAGTGTGGCAATGAGCCTGTGCTCATGGAATTCACTGGTCTTACCATGTTCCCCATCATCCTGAAGCAAATGGCTTGATAGAACGATAGAATGGCCTCCGGAAAACACAATTATAGCGCCAGCTAGGTGGCAATACCTTGAAGAGTTAGGGAAATGCTCTCCAGAAGGCTGTATATGCTCCAAATCAGTGTCTAATCTATGGTCCTGTTTCTCCAATAGCCAGGATTCACAGGTCCAGGAACCAAGGGGTGGAAACGGGAGTGGTACCACTCACAATTACCCCTGGTGACCCATTCAAAAAATTTTTGCTTCCTGTCCCTGCTACCCTATGCTCTGTGGGTCTGGAGATGTTACTCCCAAAGGGAGGAATACTCCCACCTGGAGATACAATACTGATTGCATTGAACTGGGCGTTAAGAATGCCAGCCAGCCATTTTGGCTTCCTCATGCCTCTGGATCAACAAAGAATGGCATTACTGTACTATCTGGTGTGAGAGATCCCGATTACCAAAGGGAAATTGGATTGACATTACATAATGGAGGTAAAGAAGAATATGTCTGGCATACAGGAGATTCTTTAGGACGTCTCTTAGTATTACCATGCCCTGTGATTGAAGTCAATGGAAAATTACAGCAACCTAACTCTGATATGACTACTAATGGCCCAGACCCTTCAAGAATGAAAGTTTGGGTTATCCCACCAGGCAAAGAACCACAATCAGCTGAGGTGCTTGCTGAGGGCAAGGGAAATATAGAATGGGTGTTGGAAGAAGGTAGTTCTGAATATCAGCTACGACCACGTGACCAGTTGCAGAAACGAGGACTGTGATTGTTATATTTGTTCATTGTATATGTGTATCACATATTTTTGTTCCTTCTGTTATGAACCGTGAAATGTAAATAAGGTTAATGCATTTCAGTTGTGCGTGTATTAGAGAGTATCAGGTGCAAATATGACATTATAATTGTCCTTATTTAGAGATTATATATGATTAAGAAGATGTGTACAACTGCCAAGGTCTTTAAACTGTCTCAAAACGTAAAAAACCAAACCCTTGCCATCAAGTCAATTCCAACTCATAGTGATCCTATAGGACAGAGTAGAACTGCACCATAATGGTTCCAAGGCTATAAACCTTTATGGAAACAGACCGCCTTGTCTTTCTGCCATGAAATGGCTTGTGTGTTTAACTGCAATCTTTGGTTAGCAGGTGAATGCCTTAACCAGTGAGCCACCACAGTTCCTTAAACCCACTGCTACTGAGTCAATTCTAACTCATAGTGACCCTTTCTGGACAGAATAGGATTGCCTCTATAGAGTTTCCAAGGCTGCAAATCTTTATGGAAACAGACTGCTTCATCTTTCTTCCATGGAACAGCTGGCCATGGTTTGAACTATTGGCCTGGTTAGCAGCCAAATGCTTTAATCACTAAGACACCAGAGCTCCTCAAACTTTTCCAAGCACAGGCAAACTTTTCTACAAGACCTATCAGTGCAAATGGACAAAACCAACAAGATCCCTCAAAGAAAGTATCATTCATCATTCCATACCGTAAACTGAAGGCAAAACTAAGTTTTATGGTTTGCTTTCATGTTTTTCTGCCTCCTCTTTCTAAAATAGTCTTTTCATTTATCATTGGTACTGTTAATAATAATACCTGTAGCAGTACCCCATGGTTCTACTCTTCCCTCTTCATTAAACTCTGCCTGCATTCTATCCTGTTTTCCATTCTATTTCTCATAAGCAATTGAGAGTTTAACTTGTCTGCCCTCTTTGGGAGCACATGCATATTCATAATGATATGCTAATAAATTCCTGGAGTCCCTGGGTGGTACAAACAAACTCAGCTGCTAACTGAAAGGCAATTTGAGTCCATTAAGAGGAGCCCTTGCCACTGAAAACCCAAGAAGCACAGTTCTACACTTACACACAAGAGGCTGCCATGAGTCAGCATCAATTTGATGACAACTGGTTACTAAATTTTTAATGCAGAATCTCAAGCACTACATGTGCGGTAGTAGCCTATTCTTGTCAGCTTTCAATTCACACCTATTCCATCTGTGCCTTGTAAGACTGGCTGTCTCTGTATTCTGTAGTAGGTAGGGTCTTTTGGTTCACAGCAAATCTGGTTATAGGGTTAACAGTTCACATCTCATCACATGCATTAATCTCATACAATCCCAAAACACCCTAAACTCTCCCATATCCTTTATCTTAATGTGAAATTACCAGGCCATCATCCAAACATTACCATTATCAGTTTGTTCTGCTCTTTTCACTTCTTCTTGGGCCTCTTCTTCCTCTGACTCAGCTCCACTATCACTGCTTTCAGCTTTACCATTCACAGTTTTGGCATTTGAAGTAGTCAGAACATTACCAAGATCTAAAATATAAAATGGTTACTTAATCTCTAATACAGTAATATATGTAATAATGCTGTAATTTAAAAACAATGCTACAAACTTATAAATAAGTAATAAAATCCCTTAGAAGTATACTAAAAAATTAAGTCTGACACATAATAATGCATTTTACTTATAAATATACATGTTACATAAGTACATAAGTTCCTTAAATTATTGCTTTGCAGTGAAAATGATACAGCTAACTTCAATCCTTTTGGAATGAGGCAGAGGATACATTATTTTAAAAGCAGCATCAATCAAAATCGTAAAGTTAAGAAATGAATGATCCAGAATTCCCAGGTGTATAGTAGAGCTGACAAGGGGCAAAGTTATGGTCATTGCTTGGTCACAGCCAGCTACCCAGAGGGACCGAGTAGTTGATCCTG